AATATTATTAAGGATATATTGAGCAATCGAATGAGTGATAAATAGTTAAATTATAGACTGCTAGTTTATGTAGAAAGGAAACCTTCTTGAAAATTGATACTGATGTTATTATAGAGTCATATCAGGCCATGAAAATTTGTAAAGAACGACTATGAAGTTATGTTTTTGTATTTCCACTTTTTGTTAAAATATTAATATATATTTTTATTAAATAATTAGGCCCCCACTCATTATATTTACTAGATCCGCCCCTGACAACAAGAATACCACTTACATTTAATATTACTATACAATGATTTGATATTAATGTTATGCTTGGTATGGTTTAAACCATGTTTGGTTTAATTGATTAACTATAGATAATAATTAGAATGCTTCTGATAATTATTCTCTTCAGATTCTTCATCTGTGGTGTTTCTTAACTATCATATCCCCACTTTAGAGGTCGTTTTAGATGTATTTATGCATTTTTTTGTTTTATCTCTTAAAAAATTCTAAAAATTATCATATTTTATTCTCGTTGAAAAAACTCATGCAAAAGTAGACAGAAAAGTGACATAACAATACTGATAACATTCACGCAAGAGAAAGTGAGAGTATACATATAAAAAATTATTAAAATCGGATATAAATGATTTAAGAAAAATCTTATATAAGGACAAAATAACCATTCTCATTAAATTTGTAATTATGCTTTTTTAAACTAAAACGACACATTGTCAAACAGAGAAAATATGGTTTGTTTGTTTTCTCAATATTTATCCTAACTAATTGCTCATTAGATGTGTACAGAAAAATATCTACTAAGATCCACATAATACGAGATTCTTTCTAAACTTTAAAAAGATTTTGTAGTTAGATAAATATGGATAAAAAAATAATCAGTAAGTTGAACAATTCGAAATATGAAAATTATTTTTCAAACTTAACACTCTTTATTGGATAAATATGAATTTTTAGTTGTGACCATAAATATGAGTTTTAGTTAGATAAATATGGATAAAAAATTAGTTAACAATTAAGTCGAAATGACTTTCCGGAAAGATTTAAAAAAAAAATCAAACGGTTTATTCGTTAAATGATTGACTGGATTTTTGTGACCAAATTTACATGTTTGATCGGAAAAATTAAAGGAAATGATTGATCGGATTTTTTGGAAGCAAGATTTTCAAGATTCTTTCTTATTATTTACCAAATTTACCCGTAACATTTAAGGAAATCATTGGCCATATTGTTTGGAATCAAGTTTTACACAATATCTTAATGAAATCACACTTTAAAATTTGAATTTGAAATTGAATTCAGCCGCCATTTTCTTAAAAAAGAAACAAAAATAACAACTTTAATAATTTCAAACGGGAATTTTTATACTACTTCAAATGAATCCGTATCTCATTTATAGTAACTAATACGTAGCTTGTGCGATGCACGACCTATAATTATAATTGGCATGTATTAGAGCAATAAAATATTGATTAGTGTAAAAAAGTTTTGAATATTAATTTTAATATTTTTTCTTTTATTTTATGATATATAACAATTTAATATATGATTTATATCTTTATTTCACTCGTTATAAAATAGTTGTCATTTTAGAATTACTGTTTCTAAGTAAGAATGATGAAAATTTGATATTCAAACATTATCATTAAATATTACTCATATCCAGTTTTGCTATGGAGTATGGAGCCATCCACACTTATTCACCAATAGTGTATTGGCACGTGCCCTACAATAAATACAATTTGGACATGTATCAATACATTAAATGGCGGATAACTCCATATATAAGAAAATCATTCGATGGCTCCATAGAATTTTTGTACTCATATAATCTCTCTCTATCTCTATCTCTCTCTCCCTCTTTAAAATAGTTTTTACTATATTTCCTTTAATAATAAGTCAATCTATTTAATTACAAAGTTAAAGTTATTATTTTCGAATATTTTATCAACATCTTTCAATATATATAGATGGGAGCAAATAATGATTTCATTTTACATACATTTATAATGGTAAATGACGTTTATTATTGTTAAATTAATTAATGCTCATTCTAAAAATTAGTAGGAATTAGTTGGTTGTAGTTGGTAGTTGGTTGATGAAATTATGAATTAGTTGGTTGTTAAAAAAATTAATGATGCCTTAATCACCAAAGAGCTATATATATGTGTATGTCATGCGTGTATTTGATGTGTAAGGGAATTGATCAACTAATAAGACTTTGTCTCTCATTACAATTTCTCCTCATATTCAATTCCGCTCTTATTTATTTCCACTAATACAATTCCTCTCCAATTACAACGATAAATTATCTTTGATACCAACAGTGGTATCAGAGCCCAGTTGGATCAATATCTGGGCGAAATTATTTTCACATATCCCCCTATTACTACATATCTTGTCAAAATACCTCACTTTCACATATCCTCGTACTTTCACATATTATATTAAATCTTCAAAATGGCCACTTCCCGAAACACAAATTAAATACCTATTCCTATTTTATCTGGCGAAAACTATAACTATTGGTCCATCAAAATGAGGACATATTTTATGTCTCAAGAACTATTGAAATATTGTCGAGAGCGGATATACTATCCCCGATGACATATCCACTTTGTCTATGGCGGACAAAGCAAAATTCGATCGGAAAAAGGAAAAAGACAATTTGGCTCTCTACACACTACAAATGGCCATGACGGAGTCTCTTTTCCTAAGAATCAGCGGAGCACAAACATCAAAGGAGGCTTAGGATATTTTAAAGGAAGAATATCAAGGGAGTGATAAGGTACGTCATCTAAAATTACAAACTCTAAGAAGAGATTTAGAAAATATGAAGATGAAAGAATCCAAGACAGTAAAAGATTACTACACTCGATTAAGAGAAGTAGTAAATCAACTAAAAGCATATGGCGAAAATATTACTGACAAAAAGATGGAAGAAAAAATTTTAATTACTCTACCAACTAAATATGATCCTATCGTCACGACGACTGAAAAAACTAAAGATTTGGATCATTTGTCAATGACAGAACTAATAGGCTCACTTGAAGCCTATGAAAAAATTCTGAGTATGTGTGAAAATGATACGGTTGAAAACGCATTTCAGTCAAGAGTAAATTTACGGTCTCAGAATTCTAAAATTGGGGGGGAGAAAATTTGGAGAAAGTAACAATAACAAAATACAAAATAACAAAAAGAAAGTATGGTATGATACACCATGTGGACTTTGCAATAAAAATAATCACAAAGAAGAAGAATGTTGGTTTCAAGATAAAAACAAATGCAAAAATTGTCAAAAATATGGCCACGTCGAGGAAAACTGGACAGCGGTTGCAGCAATCACATGACTTTTGATAAAAGTCTCTTTTGTAATATTGAAAAATTCAATTCAAAAGTCAAGATTAAAAACGACAACTACGTGGAGGCAACATGCAATGGAACTATCGCCATTGACACAAGAAAAATGACAAAATACATTAAAGATGTCCTCTCAGTTCCAACAATTGATCAAAATCTACTAAGTGTCGGCGAAATGTTGAAGAAAGGCTACAATTTATATTTCAGGGGAGAATCATGCACCATTTACGACAAGAACAATAAAATAATTGCAAAAATAAAAAAGAGGGAGAACTCGTGTTTTGCAATGGAATTTCAATATCCAACACAAATTACCAAATCAAGTGTCAACAATCAAGGAGAAGTTGCTAAGAAGAAAAATATCGGAGTCCCTAAAGCAGACAATCAGGAGAAGCAAACAAACACACTAATTAGAAGACATGTTTCAAAGCCTCCACAACAAAGGTGCTACAGAATGTGCAATCGAGCAATTGTCGAGCCAATAAATACAAGAGAAATCACTACAAGAATAATTCAAAGACAAGCCGTACAGAACCGCTACATACATGGACAAGCAAAGAGAGCTCAAGTATATCTCCACAAAGGAGCAACTAACTTATATTTTTACGAAAGCCCTATCGAGACCAAGATTCGAGATACCACATGACAAGCTTGGAATTATCCGAATGAGCATTAAGGGAGAGTGTTAAATTAATTAATGTTCATTCTAGAAATTAGTAGGAATTAGTTGGTAGTTAGTTGATGAAATAATGAATTAGTTGGTTGTTAAAAATATTAATGATGCCTTAATCACCAAAGAGAATATATGTGTGTGTCATGCGTGTATTTGATGTGTAAGGGAATTGATCAAATAATAAGACTTTGTCTTTCATTACAAATTCTCCTCGTATTCAATTCCACTATTATTTATTTCCACTAATACAATTTTTTTCCAATTACAACGATAAATTATCTTTGATACCAACAATTATATAGAAAAAAAAAATAAAAAAATCATTTGAATTACTTTACAAAAAATTAATTGTAAATTCACGTTTTGAAATATATTTTTTTCTTAAAAAAAAATTGGCACGTGTATTTTATTTGATAAGTAAAATAGAAAATGTAAGCAAATTTAATTTTAAGTACTTCCATTAAAAATTGTAAATACAAATTTTGAGCCGTGAAATATGAAAACTCTTTCCGTGAAACATGAAAACTAATTCAGTTAAGTCACATGTTTTTATATATCAAGTTTTTTTTCCATTTAGGAAACAAACAAAAAATACATCCAACCATATTCACAAATTTAAAAAACGCATGTATTTAGAGTAAAATTCAGAATTTCTTTTATTAGAAAGTCAAACAAAATTGACCCCAAAAAAAATGTTTTTGAAAGAATAATTACAACAACCTCTTTCAATTATTATAGATTATAGATATAGATTTTATATATTAATAGATAGATTATTTAACTATGTATAGGTGGTATAACATTCTCTTTATTAAGAAGCTTGTTAAATAATTATTTTATTTTGATTAAATTTTATTTTCGCCTTTCGATTATTTTAGATATATTGGTTATTTTAGCTTTATTAAACAGGATGAATATTCGTGACCGGTGGCCCCTTCTTCAAGAAATTATTAATATCTAAAAGACGAAGGGGGATTAAACAGAGATCTACTCGTAGAAAGGAAAAGGAGCAAGCTGTTTTATTTAGTTTCAAGCGAATCACAGTAACAGTCATCATGCCTCGCCTTGGTGAGTTTTTCGGGCTCACTTTCTTCGTTTTTCATTTTTTTTTTTACCTTTCGTTTTTTGTAGTGTTGTGATCCATGGGTTATATGGCCGAGCCCGATTTTTATTCAATAGCCCGACAAGCTCGAATCGTCGAATTTCATTAGATTGAATTCTGCTTGAGTATGACTGCAAATTTTCAATAGAAGTTTTCTACGTCGAGTTTTGCTCTCAAGTTAGGGTTATTTGCTAAATTATACTTATACTAACTTGAAATCAAGAAAAGAATTGAGGATGGTTCATGTGTTTTGTGTTTTCCTTATAATCACTGCATGTATTTTATGAGTTGTAGTAAATTGATGCTCGTAAGTTGAGTTTGTTGTGGCATCATAAAAGATTGAAAGTGAGATTTGTAATGAGTTCAGTCAGATATGTTTATATACGATTAAAGGACAGTGCGCTTAAGATTTTAGTTAGAATTTTTGGATGCTTGTCAAGCCCTTGAGTGTTTAAGTTTTTGTTTGAGTTAGAGGTATTTTGGTGAATTATAATCATTACTCACTTGAAATCAAGAGTCTTGTCAAGCCCTTGAGTGTTTGAGTTTTTGAGTTATGGGTATTTTGGTAAATTACTCTTATACTCGAGCGGCTCGTAGAACACTCTCGAGAGCTCGACTTGTTACTGGTCAAACTCTTGAGTTATTTTGTTTCTTTCACGATTTCTACTCATTAACTATTTATTAAAACACAGGAAATTTTGCTCGCTCGGCTGCCCGTTATGCTGCTGCACAACGTAGACGGGCTCCTCCTCAAAACGGTTAATTATTATCGTTGTTTCATTTATAGCTATTTTGCCAATATATGAGCTTGTAAGGATTAATTCTCTGTTTCTTATGTTCTTCCCAATCTTTTGAAAGCATCGTAAGCGCTTTTCTTGATTTGTAACGTTTCGTACATAATACTTTTTCATTTTTTTTTTTTTCTTTTTTTGTGCAATCATCCTAAGCTCGTTTATGTGAAGAATGTTCCTTC